ATAAAATAATTAAACTCACGACTCTCTGTATTCAAACGAGAATGTGATGGTATTCTCTTTCTCTTGTCGTCCGTCTTGGAGTTCAAAGGGGGAGGCCTATGTTCAGCAGTGGACGTCTTCCGGCTGATGATGATGATGATGATGATGATTAGTAAAGTCGCTTTGATTTATAAGCAGTAGTTTTATGATTAAAAATCAAAAAGTGAGGCCTAGACGATAGTGGATGGTACAAATTCATACAAAGAGAACAAGGTCGTTTAATATCCAATGAACACACTAATAATAAAATAATTAAACTCACGACTCTCTGTATTCAAACGAGAATGTGATGGTTTTCTCTTTCTCGCCCAAGACATCCCTTTGAAGCGGGCAAAAAACAAGAACACGAACGAGAAGACAGGAACCCGAGAACGAGAAGGCGAGAAACATATTATATTCTCGTGTCTCGGGTGTTCTCGGGGCTTTTCGGCGTAAGTCTGTAAGGCTTATAGGATCTATTATATTGCACTTTAACGCATAACGGTTCCTTATTTATTGCGAATTTAATGTAATCGATACGTAAATTAACTATGAAAAGAACTGCATTAAGAATTCAAAATAAATGGTCTTGGTTCTTAAGCGTCAAAATTAATGACAGTGTTTTGTTTCTTTATTAATCTAAAGATATTTATTAGCATATGAAAAAAATATGTATTTTTTTTCTCAATATAAACTTCCGTCCTTTTCATACATCTCCGCCCGTATATTTTTTTGTACACCAGATCCAAAGTTTTCACTTCGCTTATTAATATAAAGATGAAAATGACGTTACTTAACGATGTTCTTCCGCCTTCAGACGTGAATTGACATTTTAGTAGTCTAATTCCTTTTGTTTTCCACATCGAGCCAATGTTTATGTTTGAAGACATCTCCCGTCAGACAATCGACGTCAGCGTAGACCCTGGCTAAATACGTACCCACTACAATGCCATTGTTAAAACGATTTTTAACTAGAAATGTGTAATACACCAGACTATCTATCAGCACGTCTAGGTGGACTGTATTTTTAAATTAACATTTTTACCATCCATAAAAGTAATATGAAATTGCAGAATACAACAATATAACCACTGAATAAGGAAAAATTATAATTAACAGTATGTATACATATCCTTCAGTTGTGTTATAAAACTGGGACAATTAACAATACGATTCCATCAAAATGTTGAAAGTTCAAATTATGCTTGATCATACTTGATTCAAAGTATTATTATGTGCGTATTAAATAAACCATTGAATATAACCTTGGTTTTTAAATTGAATTTGTTGTATTTATCTGTTTAACCCTTAAAATATATGTGAACATCAAGATGCTAGGACCAAACTCTCAAATATACCTATGTCTAAAATATAAGTAAGTATGAGTAAGTGTATTATTATTTATTATTTAATTAAAAGTAATACTATTTTCATTCTAGGTAAATGTTTTCATTGGCAGAATACTATTCGATTACTAACGGTTTTCTCCAAATGTCTCGTTCGGTAGTTGTTTAGTCTAACAAACAGTGTTTAGATTAAACAGAGTGCACCATGTCATTACTGACGCAACTACAGAGTGACATTAAACCTATAGTATAAGCGGTGATATATAAACTTTTTGCGATTAATGGCACATTGCATAATACAATAATTATACCTACTTAAGGGCGTACAAACCAAATAGGCATCACCTGATCACTATAATTAATTTTGAACAAAGAAATAAATAGTGATTAAAAACCGGTGAAGTGCGAGTCGGACACGCGTACGAAGGGTTCCGTACCATTATCCTTAAAAAAACAAAAATATCACGCTTTTTGTTTTCTCTAGAATTGTTAGAAATTTTTGAGTTATATTGGTCGACCAATAAACTTATAAAGCCAGATACCCTTTTAACTTCATTATATATATACTATAGCCTTGGCGTTTGAATTTCTGACACTTGACTCTAATGAAAATTGACACTTTAAAGCTTAATAAGACACAGACGGTTTACTTAATTGTTAACAATCTTCCCACACCCCTAATATTTTGAAAAGATATTACACGATACCTCAAACTATGGAAAAGTCGAAAAAAGTTACCTTTACATGTAGGGGAGGTATCCTAAAAATATTTTACTTTACCACTTTCTGGGCGTAATCAACATGTACACTCATAATAAACTACAATCTTTTAGCATTAATACTTTTTGAGATAAACCACGGACGAACGGACTTGGCTATAAAGATACCTTGTTGACTACGGAACCCTTAAAATGAGAAACCACCTTCAAATGACTAAACTATATATCAGTATAATTAATCGCTCAGTGCCACATAATATAGCGTATTATGCAAAATAAAGAACGTGCCAATAAAATTATTTCTAATTCATTACCTGCTCGTAAGTTATTAATATATTAAATATCAAGTAATTTCATAATCAATAATCTTTTTTTTTATAAATTGATTTTAATGACAGGTATATGCTCTGTGAAAATTTCAAAATATCCGATCGTGTATTGGTGACATACAAGATATTTGTAATAAATGTCTGTACCGGAAGAAAATCATCGCCATCTTTCATTCATTTCATTTTCATTTTACATGTAAAAAAATATTCACTTGACATTGGCAGAATTTTGCGAAATGCGCAGATAAGCCATTAATTAAAAAAGATATTTAATAATCGCGTGCTGAAATTTAATTAAGATGCTAGTAGCTTAAGCAACAAATACTGTTACTTCATAAGACTAGAAATGTCAATTGTTATTATGTGTTAATTTTAGTTTGTTTTTTTTTGTACTAGGATAATTAGTTATTTACTTTTTTGTCACACGTGTGAATGATATACTATTTACCTACTATTTTTTTGTTAATATGCACAATAAAGAAAAACTGTGTATATTTATAGATTTTGAAGCTTCTATGTAGTTTAACTTTTTTAAACTAGTTGAATTGATTGGAAATAAGTTCGGTGATAGAGAAAATGGAGAATGCTGTATAAGGATTATACTGAAACAGTCGAGACATGATTAAAAAAGAGGACGGAACATAGTGTAGCATTTTCAAAGTCGAGGTTGAGATTTTTTTAAATATGTAGATATGTTTTGGTTTATTTTACATCAAATAGTATCAGACGAAGCTTATATTTAATGACTAAAACTCATATTTTCACTAAGAAAGAAAGTAACTTGCTTTTGACTGAACCAAATTTTTTTTGTGTTTTTAATCAAGTACTTAGCTAGAAACAATATATTTAGAATAGGATATATTTCATTGTTTGTTTGTTTTCACCAAATAGGCTCCGACAACTACTGGAGCTCATTTAACAATTCTTTCACCTACGGGTAGCTACATCATATGCTATATTTTATCCCGAAACACAGCAAATAAAAGAATGAAAATGGGAGTGGAAGTTTGTATAAAATAGTTTATGTGTATCTGTTGTATAGGGAATAACGTTACCATAGTATCCATTGTTTACCATTTAATTTGTTATTCTATCGATATCCAAATAAACAGTTCCCTTGGGACCTTGCACGCGAAAATATTGCATCAAATTTTAGTGCAGAAGTTTGAACATTTTCGGGCTAACACGGTCACGAGCGTGAAATGTTAATGAGTCAACATTAGGGAACATGTAGGTACTATTATCAACTTACATATTCAGACCGTAATTTCAGTAATAATAGCAGACTCTCAGCAGCCAAAAATACAACGGATTTGGCAAAAACTAGCGAAGTTTGCAGGTGCCACCTACGATGTAGACATTCGCAAATTTTGATTACACTATATATCACAAATTAATTTTTATTTCTTTAGGTTTACGTAGGTGTCGTTAGTGTCTTCATATCTATATATACGCTGAGATCTTTTATTTACACAACGAAATCAATATACAGAATAAGTTTTGGGGAAGGTTTATTATGTATAATACAGGAATGCGTGGCCGAAGCCGCTTGCTAAAATGTAGTAAGGCCATATTTCACAAACAATAAACATTTATACTTTAACACAATGCAATTAGAATTATATAATATTTTTAATTATATATCAAATATAACAAAGTTAAACACAGGGGGCTATTTGCTTTATATTTAGTGTTAAGTATTTATGCTCTAAACTTAATGAAACTGTCCCATTGAAGAAGGTCAAAATTTTTGTACCTGTAGTTCATATAGAAAAAAAAACACTATAATAAACTTGGGTCATTTTCAATATCTCTTACTGCCTACCGATTCGGAGAAAATGCCTTATTAATAACTACACCGACAAAATAATATTGTTGTATATACGAAAAACGAAGATTGTTCAATAAATTGTAGTTATCAATAATAGAGTTTTATCATTTCGCACCCCACATAGGTCATAGGTTACTAAAACAGTTCTTAAAACTTTACGATCTGAATCCGACCATAAACATCAAACGATTTTACTATACATCATATACATATACTTAGCCAAACCTTACAGATCAAAAGATCTATTAAACTTTCCTAACAACGAAATTTAGTTATTTTCGGAAAGCTATAAAGACTTTTTTTCAAAAAAAAATATTATTATGGTGCAATGAGTGTAATGACCGCCATTGCTCCTTCAGCTTAGGTACATCTCACAACAACAACAGTTTTGATGTTTTTTGATTTTCCGAGAAACTGAATATGTGTTTAATTAGTAAACGAAATTAAAATCTTGCCTAGTTTACAAATTTTGATACGAAATATTTTCTATTTTAGATTTCCCACCCTAGCCGACTTCGATTTTTTTTATCTTTAAAAGAGAGAAGACGTTACTTTTTTAATGTTGTTACTGTTATTTAACTTTAAAGCTTTGAGTGGGCACCAATTAACTAAAATATTCTGTTAATTTGTAAGCATTTGCTTGGTTTTTTATCGAAGATGCCATTACAACACACGAAAGCTGCTGCGATAGTAGTTGATGTTTTACCTGACTGCAGCACTTTCTCGGGCAGGGTACCAAATGGTAAATGTGGCTCACCGGAGTCAGTGGGCTCGGTATACTGGAGGTCCTCAACATGCTAAGCTTCCTCCGCTGCTCGGCGGACAGCGAGGCCCTCCGGCTCCTGGCGAGTTCAAGCCCATACCCAGGATCAGAGTCTAAACTCAGGCCACGTAGCAACGACGGACGGAACATTGTATAACTTAAGCTTAACTTTAGCTATAACTTTTTAAAGCACTTTCAAGTTTGTGTTTAGTAGATCTTAAGTTTATGTATTATAAGATGCTGTTAAAAATAATTTAATTCAGTTACGTACAGTTTCTGAAATATAATTGTAGTGAGTATTGATTTTTACGTTATTTCTGATAGCGATGGAGTTATAAATTTGGTTAGTTTTGTGGTTTCATTTAAGTAATATTATTATGAAATGAATATTAATGGTCTACGTACTAAATTTTTATTCTGTTATAAGAATCATACCTAATTTGATGTACGTATCATACACACGCTTTGAACGTAATTTAAGATACTTAACAAGTTTGCAAGCTTTTTTGATATTTTTGAATATGTAATGCATATAAATCGAATTATAATTTTTAATAAAAAAATAAAAATATTATCTACAAATAAGACTCTTATATTTTTTTATTAGCAATAGTGTAATTATAAATGTTTTTGTTAATATTCAATAACATTAAAAAAATATTAAAGAATCCAAATTAAAGATAACCAATAATTTTAAATGACATTAAAATTAATCAAATTTACGAGTACAAGCTTTCAGAAACTGAAACGCAACTGTCACAAAATAAAAAAAGCCAATTCCATTTCCATATAGCTAGTTCCTGGGACCAAACCAAATCACCTTTTCCTTTCCATAGTTTGCGTAACAAAACTGGGTTGCACTTCTATTAAGAGTGGAACATTTCAAAGCGCGGTAACTGTCACAAGTGTCAGTATCATAACGGGTAGTTAAAGTTTAACGTCCGGTGAAGGTAAATAGTGCGTTCGACGGCGTATAAACGCGCGCGGACAAAGATCGCGGACTGTGAGTATTTCGGTGTGAGACAGGTCTAGCGAAACAGTGTTGACTACTCGCCAGTACGTTGCACAATTATCTATCTGACATTTAAAATTGGAACAGCTTATGCGTAGTACTATAAGCGCGGCAGTTCGAGCGAAAGCGGGAAAAGTGACGCCCTTGAAGGAGCACGGACATACGACCTAAACTTTCGGCAAGAACGTCCCGTAAACTTCAGATTAATTTTATCGTCATAATTCATCCAATTTTTAACAATTTCAACCAGTTTCAGATCAACACTGGTCAGGTCGCTTAAGAAGAAAGAAGTAATTTTTTTTTTACTCCGCCACTTTCGATTTTGCTTTATACAAACGAAGTTTACAAATCAAATCAAAATCATTAATTCAGGTTACACTTGTAATAGTTGAAATTATATGGCAAAAGTTCGTAAATCTTATATCTCCTTGTATCGGGAAGAATCGAAAAAACTCAGTAAAGACTACTTTTTACATACTCTTTGTAGGTATGGTCTCAGATAGAGAAAAATTATACCAAGCTTTTTCATACTCTTTGGATTCGTTTCTTATTATTAATGTATAGTTATTGATGAGATGATGTTTTGTTTGTTAGTGATTTAGATGTGACTTGAATAGTTACAATCCAAATGTTTTGTACACGATATACTTCAACTTATAACCTACATAAAGAAATGAGATACCATCAAAAACATAACATGTACAAAAATGGACAAGCTTAGAAACGCAGATCTTCTAATAAAAAAATTTCTATGATTATTATCAGCAGCTATCCAACAACTGCGTATTAAATTATACACGGGGAACCTTCATACAGTCACTACTACATCTTGTAGAAAAGCCTATTTATTACGACTTTGTGTTAGTGGATAGGCGCCGGCGACTGCCTGTTGTCCACGAAGTTAGCCACACATGCAGCCACTGCGAGCGAAACTAGAGAACTGTTAGTGTTTTGGCATGTTCATAGTAAATATTTTGTTAATGTTTTTGGATCTTCCGTGCTTTAATCATACGTCAAATTTTATTGAATTATTGCTTAATCGTAAGTGAATACGATTAAGATAATAATATATATCTATATTGTGAATTTTCTACGTGGGTTTTGTGTTAGAAAAAATAATTTAATTATTTATCTTCGGGGCACGTGCGTACATTTCCAGAAAGGGCAAATTCGTACGCGTATATATGTACCCCCGCTAACAATTTTTATTATTTTATCAGAATATTTAGAAAAAATGATCGGAATTTTAAGAAGAAATATTAATTAAATGAGTTTTTTTGCGTCTGTAAAAGGTGCTTTTTAATAGTAAAAAACAAATTGTTTTACTGAAAAGACTAACCAATTGAAAAAGTTCATAAACACATTTCGGACTCACGATATTGGAAGTCACAACACTATCAAATGATTATGATAAAGTTTTGAAATATAAATGTTTGCAAAATTGTTATGAAACTGGCTTCGCTGATATAGAATGGATGCACGGTTTTCGTAAAAAGATAGTTAGACTCTAAGCCTATATAGTCGTATAGTTAATTACATCGTTGATAAGTTTAAGATCAATGAAAACGATCTTTTTAATTCATTTGTTGTTTTACTTAATATATATGAAGTTACCACACTGTCTGAATGTTCCCCGGCCCATGTACGATTGTACCCCTTAATAGGGGTAGATTCGGACATTTCATTAGCTTTTAGTAAAATTCAATCCTTTGATATATTATACAAAATATCGACTTTGAACTTTTTAAATAAGGAGCAGAAAGTATGCTTTATGTTTTAATAAGTAATTGAGTAATTTATCTTTGATTATCAATATTTTAAAAATCATTGACTAAAAAGTGTACGAATGGTCCCAATGAAAATTAACTTTTCTATACCTTTAGTCTCGGGTCTGATTATTGTGGTTACATTCGTTATTCCAGATTTCCAAAATACAAGTGCTTTAGCTACTTAATTTGATTCTATCATGAAAATTTCTTCACCTAAGGGAATCCATATCATCATACTCGGGGTGAACAACATAGGTTACAATATATGCTAGCGAAGTGACTGGAATAGAGCTAGCTTTATGAAATGCAGCAAAAGGAAAAACTAATATAGTAAGTAAATAGCGATTTATCTATTAATATTCATTCCAATTTAAATTTTATAAAGATACATTTATCTTGAAAGTTTTTCCTGATATCTAGAGTCATTATAATATGCTACTTTTGGCACAGACACTGTACAGCAGTGTGTTGACACCGATTATAAAGAGAAATAGTGTACATTATTTTTATTTGCAGACCGAAAGGGAGATGCTTTATTTAAAGAAGCCATTGAGATGTATTTTTGTATTTATCAAATGCCTACGGTGTTTCACAAAACGACATCAAAGTGTAAGAAATGTGAGGTCGTTCTTTAATACGTCTATGTATAAGTTTGATTGATGGCATATTAAACTAAAATAAATACCATCATATTTTCGACCTTCATCATTTTAGTGTTACTAAATTGAGATAACGTGGGTTCAAAACAAATATATTACTAAAAATCTACAATTTTTATGATAATTTCATTATTATTATATCTATTTATTTAGAAAGCCGGAGAAGATAATAAAATAAGAACATACATTGTTGCCATTTTCTTTCATTACACATGATCATATTTTCGTGAATCAACGGCATTTGCAGTGATAATTGTTTTTCATATAATATGATTCTTTAATTTTGAGTATAATTTAAAACTTATAATCGTAATATTTTAGACAATCAACTTAAATTATAAAAATTGTAGTATACCTACACTTACCCTTTCAATATTTGGTCTTCTTCTCCGAAAAAACTCGGAAACACCGCAGAGATACATGTCCAAAAAGATCACTACACACTTAAACAAACTCACGAGAATTATTCCAGACGAAGATATTCATTTATTAAAAAACAATATCAGAGGGTATCTGGGCACTCAGTGACGTTCCATACTGCATGCACTCAGTGTTCGCGCCATACTTTGTTCTTAATAAGTCACCTAACATTACTCATGTAAAGGTTGCTCCGAAAAATGGTGCCGCTAAAAATTCGTAGTATTATTTAAATTCGCTTCTTTGTCTCAAGCCAACAAGTGCTGTGTTTATAATGACATAGGACATATTTTACATAGCAGATATTTCAATTTATAATTTTATATAGATGCACTGAAATTATCTAATTGTAAGGAAACTCCTTTAAATAAAATTTCTTAGTATCATCTATTCATTAAGTAAAATGATTTTGGTTTTCCTTCTTCTTTAATGATTTTTCCTTAAGATCATCATTTTTTTTATAAAACTACATACCTAATATTCATCCTGTATATTTGGTGTGTAGTTTTAACCGCTTCAATCTCGCGGGAGCCGCCGACGTTTAATTGTTTACAATTCAAGCGAAGCTCACTCCTAAACATTATTGGAACATATTGATATTAGTTAATATTAAATCGCTCTTTTCTTACATCGCAACAACATATTATATAGCTAACTCGACAGACTTTCCTTCACCAAATTTTAATCTTAAAATATTCAAAAGCGGCAAGCGCTTTCCGTTTTTCTTAATTTCTAAAGCGATATGTTTGCTGAATAATATTTATAACACAGCAAGTCAGCATATACAAGACTCAAATTTTCCAAGTCGATTTTATAACTTAATACATTAATGGTAGAGATCAGTGGCGTACCGTGTCTTGGCGGGGCCCCGTATAAAATTTGTTTGGGGGCCCTTATGTACGGTAAAGATTTTTCACATAAGAAGAAAAATGTTTGTATAAACTATGCGAATTCTAATCGTATATACATCGATTATTATGGGATTCCCTTGTTAATGTCATATGACTTAAACGTAGATATCCCGCAGCCCACGAAAACCTTTGTAGGGTGTTGCCAACTTTGTAACGCACGCTTTACGCGGGAAAAAGAAATTGCTTTTTTGACTTTTGTCATTTCTGGAATAAAAAGAAATGTGGGGAGTTTTTTATTAATTTTTGCTTACGCACGTTGGGGGCCCCAATGATCCATGGGCCTCTTATAATTGATACGGCATATACGGCGGTAGCTACGCTCTGGTAGAGATCAAAATCCATTCCAAAACTTTAGCATATTGCGATGTGTACAGCAATTAATTCAAAAATGGATCGTGAATTCGTGACAGTAAGTAAGTAACTCCATTTGATATCGATCGAATAGATTATTTTATCTAAGAAAAACCTGCTCAAATCCAGCGTCCACACAACGGCCCGCGGACGACTTTTTAATCATTCACGCAAGCAAATTCAGTAAATCCTGCCAATTATGCCCTTGCCCCGCAAGGAATAAAATAGGTATAAAATCATCAGTACAATATATGCTATTTGTTTTAGGAATTCCGTACTACAAAACTTATATCAGATCACTCGGACGTCTGTCTGTTGTCCGTCTGTCACAGTCACAGTTTAATACGATACTACTGAACCGATAGATTTTAACTTTGATGCACCTATGTCAGTCGGTGTTCCAAACTCAAACGTGTAATGTAAAAGTAAAAAAAAAGAACTACGAGTAAATAAATCAACCTGTAGTATAATTTATCAAATATATTTTTAGACTATATTATTGATATGACACCTAAGTAATTATTAAATAAAGATTAAGTATTAACATTATTTGACCTCAAACGAGAAAGATAAACTAAAAGGTTAAATACTCAATTAAAGCGTTTAAAACATGTGGAGCATTGTATAAGTTCTTTAGAGATATGTTGTCTATTGAATAAGACGTCATCTCTGTCTAGATCAGGGTGTTGAAGCAACTAAAATAGCTTAAAAATATATAGGACTCTTCTACTCATATCAATTAGTATTGAAAAATGTACCATTAAGAAGTTTGCACATTTTCTTCATGAGCTCTTCTACTATTATATTACTTCTTATAAAATTATAATTTACAGAAAATTATTTTGATATAAAAAATTAGATAGCAATGATGACAATTGTTCAGCCCTTTAGCTTTTCTGTATAGTAGTCATCAGGAGTCGACAAGCAGTAGGCGCGGACGCTGCCTACTAATTGAGTATACGGCTTGGCCTTAATTACCACCACCAAGTACCTGTATCCTGCACCACCACGAAGCAAGATGGGTATGCCACCTGCTGTTTCTATAGCCAAGTGACTGATCTGCAGATGAAGAAAACGTTTAAAATTAAAAATACTTTATTATTATTATTTAATACTGTTTGGTGTGATAACCACTGATTTTATTCGATCTAAAAAACTATTATTAACACACTAGTATTAGAGTTTTTACCAAAATTAGAGCCAATTTGCTTTGTCTCATACCTGTTATTATTTTATTTTATTCTCTTTTTATTAATTTCATAAAAATCAACATGAAATAAGGATAAGGTTCTTTTTTTTCTTTCATTTTTGGTATAAACAGCAGCTTAAGTAAGTTCTGTGATCCATCAACCCAAAAATGAATATAATTTTGTGTCGTACAGAAACTCCTGTTGTACAGAAAAGCAATATCATGCTATTTTACAATTGCTATTCTAAAATTGAAGGAGTTACTCACTACACAATTGACTGAGCCTTCGCAATACACATGGTGCCCTGAAGGCTGAGCTTCATACTCGAATCGTCTTCTAAACACCCTCGTATCATTTGGCATCCGATGCCCCTGATAGATGCTATGATACGGCGATGGAACCATGGCGTGTTTATTAGGCGTTATAGTTGGCAATGCAGCAGGATATTCATTTTGGTTCTTGAACATGTACATACGACGATAATCATGACTGTAAGAGATTGTTTTTTATTTTGATTGAGATTCTAATTGTAATTAACTTTCAATGTATCCAATGAATTTTCTCAAAGTAATCTTATTAGTAAATCGAAAATAATAATAAAATATAAATCGAAGCGAAACGTAGTCGTTTACTATGGGTCTCATAAGGCTCAAAATCACCCAGCGGGCATGGAGAGTGATGCGTGTTGTTCTCTTTGTGATCGTATAGGAACGAAAAAAAACTTAAAAGAACCAACGTTACTATGGCATTGCTCGAGAGATTCCACAGCTGAAATGCCAGTAGTAAGTTGGTACACATAGCTAGAAGACCCGATGGCGGTTGGAACAGAAAGTTGCTGGAATGGCGACCGCTCACCCGATGATGCTCAGCGGATAGGTCCCCATCAGGTAGACTGATATTTTATAAAGGTAACGGGAAGCCACTGAATGCGGGCAGCGATCGTCTTGGAGATCTATGGGATGGGAAGGTCTTTGCTTAGCAACGGACGTCGTACGGCTATTGATGACGATGATGTCATTTATTTGTTTGAAATTCTCAATAATTTCACCGAAGACCAGAAAAAATAACATTATTATGTACTTACATGCGTTTACCCAAGCCAAAGTTATGCATCTTTTCATAAAAAAATGATGGACTAGAAGCAATCGTTGATAATAATTCTAAATATATACAAGACTTTAACAGAATATTTATAAAGATGTTCATAATTTACAGGCACATTACATAAAATTATGTATTCAGTAGTAGCTTGTGTACATGTATTAATACATCAACTTTACGTGAAATATTACACATCTGTGGTATGTAAGTTATACAATGGCTTATTTATTGCCTTCTCTTTTTACGATCGTTTCATTTTTGTTACAAGTCTATTTTACCATATGGCAGTCATAAAATTTCATCTCAAGGGCGATAACAAAACTTACATAACACAAATTATAACAAGAACAAGTTATTTTTAAGTAGGTATTGGTACACTTTTGTTTTTATTTAGCTAAATGATTAGTATTTTTTATTTAAAATTTAATGGAACTAGTTTATAATAAACATAATTTCATAAACTCATATTACTCGATAATAAACTTTACTTATACGAATCTTAGATCAAACGACGGATCGTACCTTTAACCATGTGTCTATATCGTCGTAATTGTCTCCATATGGACACACAATTCAAATAAAGCATGATTAATTCATCTCCAAATAATTAGGTATGTATGCCGAGCTCAATTTTACACCACCTAAATCTCCAGTTATGATTTAGGACCTTTTTGGGGCCTATTTCGGATTTAAATCTCATAGTGAAGCTTTAAGGGCATGGCTGGCAGCAATGCTTTATTTCTTAAATAGTTTCAATAAATTAAATAATTATTATGGGTTCTTTGAGAAATAATCTTCAAGTTAAGTGATTTTGGGTTCATAATAACAATTTCATCACAATATCGAAATATTTATATTTGTTAAAAATTAAATATACTTTGCTACTGAAGTTTACGAAAATTTGTTCCTTTAAATTTTTTTTATTACATGAATGCCTAGAATTTAAAAAAATTGTGTCCAAATGGACACAGACACAATTTTTTTTAATTCAAAACAAATGTTTTCCACAGTAAAAAGCTATTTTTTATACTTATTTGACTTAACTTTACGTAGTTCATCCAAAACTAATAAGAAAAAATAAACTCGAATAATTGGGAATTTCTGGCTTAATACAATATATATGATGTATCGATATTCAGTAAAACCGTTTTTGTTTTTCTTGAGAAAGAACGTTAAAATGATATGTATCAATTTACTCAATAAAAACGAAACGCAACATTATCAAAATGACAGCTTCTTCAACGTAATGAAACTAAACGTGTTTGACATATTGATTGTATTGGTAATTTCATGGTAGTTTCCGAAGAGTAGTACTTAATTTCATGGAATTTTCACTTATATTTTCTTAGTAATTCAAGATTGTTTCACTTAGAAAACAATGAATGTAATAAAAATGTATTTATTTTACTAAATAATCAATTTACATCTGTTGTCAACGACTTTAATCTCTTGTAAATTCCAGAATGGATGGTAAGTTTAGAAGAATTTTGTAGATTCAACAATCAAAAGGAGTTTTACTAAAAGTATCTGTCTCTCATGCTTATAGGTTCTTCAGCAAAGAAATCTACCTCATTGGAGACTTTAGTCATTCAAAATATAACTAATCTCAATGAATTAAAAACAAAACTGAGTGACATTATAAATAATGGGAGAGATTACGAATATGATGTTTCTTCATGCTTAAAAACATTAATAAACAGTTCAGATCAGGATATCGTTCTACTTACCATTCAAGCCATCTCCGAACTTACGAAATGTGAGACTAAAAGGGAGAGTTATGCTCAGAAAGATTTAATACAACCTATTATTAGGATACTGCATACTGAAGTAAATTCAGGCAAAACAGAGCTCTTGAAACAATCTTGCAGAGCGCTGGGAAACTTGTGTTGTGATTGTGATACCTCGAGAAAGATTTTATTAGAATGTAATGGTGTTTGTGAGTTAAAGAAATTAGTTGAACAAACTTTAAAAAATAATGATGCACCTCACAATGAAATAAAATTATTGGCCTGTAAGTGTTTATTAAATTTTGCAATTGGTGGACAAGAATTCTCAGAGATGATAGTGCAGGAAAACTTGATAGAATTGCTGCATAGAATCCTTGATTTGGAACTCAATAACGATGACATGAGTGATGAAATGGTTTCTACTTCGTTGCTGATATTAAGTGTTATTAGTGATAATGATCCAGAGATTTTGTTTGACGATAAGGTCAATAAAGCTGTATTAGATGTACTTCGTGAAACAAATAATGTGGAGATATCTGAACTATGTCTAGACCATTTGCATGCACAGGCAGAACATGGTAAGAAATATCTATGTCTGCTTTTTATATGCTTTTTAATTTCACTATGAAAGTATTTAAACAAGTTTTGTAATGAAAAGCGACATAATGCTTTTGTGAACTCATGTTTCAGTGTGACAATTATGAAATACATACATGCGTTGTTGTGCTTCTTGCCAGTATTTCTCAGTACTAGATCTCCTGAAAATTTGCAAACCAAGTGTACAGTTTTTTGACTTAATCCTAATACATTGTACAACCTTATAACCTTTAGATTAGATTAGAATGCATATCTAATATATATATACAAAACTATTTATATAATATAATTTTTAAGAATTTTTGAATGAAGTATTTTTGGACTAAAAAAAGATACTTGATAAACATATATTACTTTAAATTTAATATGTTAACAACATTAATGCAGACTTTATAAAATCTATAAAATGAATTGTTTTATAGATGGTGTCAAAACATTAATAGCAAATGAAGGAGGATTACAGCTGGTCTGTACTCGATTAGAACAGCTTATGATGAAATGTGACAATGGAGACCTGGAAGCTGATGAATCTGAGGTGGAGGCTATTGTAAAACAAGCCTGTGACCTGATCATCATAGTCCTTACTGGTGGTGAGTTTTTGTTTTATTTGTAATTTTCTGTCTGGTCTTGAAGACCAATAACATCCTGATACAGGCATTAATTATACTTACTAGGAAAGTTATCTCAGACAGATATTCACAATTGGTTGGTTATATAAATAAACATTTTGTTTTTTATTTAATTATATTTGTTATAGTCCTAAATAACAACCAAATAATAATATCTTAAATATTAGCTACAGGAAAGCTAGCCAATTCCTAAAAAATATGGCAAGACTTCTTGTTAGTGCTTTAGTAAAATAATATTTTATTTGCATCAACTTTATGATAGATAATCATCCAGTAGAGAGATAGCTAAAGTGGTAAATTTTAACCTTGGGGTTGAAAATCAGTTACCCAGTTTGACAAGGATAGGATTTTTAAAGTAATTTGGTTGTGAGAGTCTGATGTATTAGTTCATTTTGGAAAAGAGATCTCTTGCTAAAACTAGTTTAAGAATTCCCGACTTTAATACTATATTTCAGAAAATAAAAAGGTAATTTTCATTTTTACAAATTCTGAGATTTTACAATCTAAATACTTTATAGTAAAATCCTTCTTATGTGAATTGAAATTCTAGTGTGAATTCTTCTTCTTAACTTTAATGAAACTGCGTCAACACAATACTGCCAACTTCACGTAGGAGACCATTAACAACTAAAGTAACTTCTATGCAGCCATATAGAAACAGTTGAATAAAACAACACAAATAACATGACAGTATACAACAAGGAAATCAAATCAAATCAAAATTATTTATTCAGTCTAAGCTGTTACAAGCACTTGTGAAAGTCGAGAGCTGGAAAGGAAATTTTATAAATACCTTAAACCTCAGTGATTGTGCTTCCCTACGATTCACATTTCCTTTTTTTTTTTCATTGTAATTAGATGAAGCCATGCATATCCTATACAACAATGGTGTGGGTGAAATTTACTTGACAATGGTAAAATGGCTTGACTCTCCAAAATATCATCTCCTAACTACTGCAGTGTTGGCTATTGGTAACTTTGCTCGACAAGATGATTACTGCACTCAAATGATGGAGAACAAGATATTTGATAAGCTTCTTGGTAAGTGAATCAGGAAATATCATTGTTCACACAAAACTAAAAGTATTTTGCCTACATTAGTAAATAATAACACCCAGATTCAATGAAAATAAATAAATATTAGATAACATCACATATACAGCTTAGATACCAAGATGTGCAGCTAACTAATACCTCTGTTTTATGGATTATCTAATACAACATAAGTGTGGGTATTGTCACTCAAGACAAGTATTTTCTACATTAATCACAGCAGGAATCAAATCTGCTACCACAGATATGGCAAAACTTTGAAAACCAACATGCAAAACACTTTGCTATGGAACGTTTAAATCAAAGGTTCATAAGCCATTATATCTATTTCTATAAATGCATGCATGTTGAAAATATTTGTATTTCCAATCATAGACATATTCGAGGTGTACCATGGCTTCACACTACGTATGAAGAAGGAGCCTACAGTCCACTATCCTATTGACCCGGTGACAGTGACTAAAATTCAGCATGCAGTTCTGTCGGCGCTACGGAATCTCACAGTGCCAGTCGCCAACAAGAGAGTCGCTGCCGCTCAAGGAAAAGCTGCCCCGCTCTTGTTAGCGGCTCTACCTCACGTAGATGATCACCATGTGGCATATAAGTTGCTAGCAGCGATCAGAATGCTGGTGGATGGTCAAGGTAAGTTAAATTAAAAGGCTTTCTATCATTAGTGAAAAATCAAATAAAGTACCTAATACCCTGGTCATATGGAAATTATAGCTAATCTCTTATAATATTTTAAAAATTAATTAAATTTTAAATATTGACACATTTTTACTATCAGTATCTTATGTAGATATTGATTCCAATCTGTATAGTTACAGGCAGAATACTAAAAATCACTACTGACTGATAAAAACTAATTATAATACCAAACTAGTTCACTAACATGTGCCGAGCGCTTCTTTAAATGACCAAGTAAGCTAAATACTAATTTAAAAGAAGGTTATTATAAAATCCAAATACCATTCGCCTGGTAAAGAATGCTTAAAAGACTTAAATAACTACAATTGGACTCTATAGTCTGCCGTACATTTGACAGGATTTAAAAGTTAAATAAGGTTAGGTTAGGTTAAATAAGTTATACGTGTGGGATAGAGGGTGTGGCGAAGCAGTTGGCGAGCGACCGTGCAGCGTTGGAGGGGGTCGCGCGCTGGGGGAGCGCGGGGGAATGCGCCGGCGCCGCGGGGGAGGCGCCGCGCCTGCTTGCCTGGACCACGCGTCTACTGCGCCACTCCCCCCACGCGCGCCCGCTGCTGCAGGTATGTACCCACGTGGGGGACCACGCGTCTGCTGCGCCACTCCCCCCACGCGCGCCCGCTGCTGCAGGTATGTACCCACGTGGGGGACCACGCGTCTGCTGCGCCACTCCCCCCACGCGCGCCCGCTGCTGCAGGTATGTACCCACGTGGGGGACCACGCGTCTGCTGCGCCACTCCCCCCACGCGCGCCCGCTGCTGCAGGTATGTACCCACGTGGGGGACCACGCGTCTGCTGCGCCCCTCCCCCCACGCGCGCCCGCTGCTGCAGGTATGTACCCACGTGGGGGACCACGCGTCTGCTGCGCCACTCCCCCCACGCGCGCCCGCTGCTGCAGGTATGTACCCACGTGGGGGACCACGCGTCTGCTGCGCCACTCCCCCCACGCGCGCCCGCTGCTGCAGGTATGTACCCACGTGGGGGACCACGCGCCTACTGCGCCACTCCCCCCACGCGCGCCCGCTGCTGCAGGTATGTACCCACGTGGGGGACCACGCGTCTGCTGCGCCACTCCCCCCACGCGCGCCCGCTGCTGCAGGTATGTACCCACGTGGGGGACCACGCGTCTGCTGCGCCACTCCCCCCACGCGCGCCCGCTGCTGCAGGTATGTACCCACGTGGGGGACCACGCGTCTGCTGCGCCACTCCCCCCACGCGCGCCCGCTGCTGCAGGTATGTACCCACGTGGGGGACCACGCGTCTACTGCGCCACTCCCCCCACGCGTGCCCGCTGCTGCAGGTATGTACCCACGTGGGGGACCACGCGTCTGCTGCGCCACTCCCCCCACGCGCGCCCGCTGCTGCAGGTATGTACCCACGTGGGGGACCACGCGTCTGCTGCGCCACTCCCCCCACGCGCGCCCGCTGCTGCAGGTATGTACCCACGTGGGGGACCACGCGCCTACTGCGCCACTCCCCCCACGCGCGCCCGCTGCTGCAGGTATGTACCCACGTGGGGGACCACGCGCCTACTGCGCCACTCCCCCCACGCGCGCCCGCTGCTGCAGGTATGTACCCACGTGGGGGACCACGCGCCTACTGCGCCACTCCCCCCACGCGCGCCCGCTGCTGCAGGTATGTACCCACGTGGGGGACCACGCGTCTGCTGCGCCACTCCCCCCACGCGCGCCCGCTGCTGCAGGTATGTACCCACGTGGGGGACCACGCGTCTGCTGCGCCACTCCCCCCACGCGCGCCCGCTGCTGCAGGTATGTACCCACGTGGGGGACCACGCGCCTACTGCGCCACTCCCCCCACGCGCGCCCGCTGCTGCAGGTATGTACCCACGTGGGGGACCACGCGTCTGCTGCGCCACTCCCCCCACGCGCGCCCGCTGCTGCAGGTATGTACCCACGTGGGGGACCACGCGTCTACTGCGCCACTCCCCCCACGCGTGCCCGCTGCTGCAGGTATGTACCCACGTGGGGGACCACGCGTCTGCTGCGCCACTCCCCCCACGCGCGCCCGCTGCTGCAGGTATGTACCCACGTGGGGGACCACGCGTCTGCTGCGCCACTCCCCCCACGCGCGCCCGCTGCTGCAGGTATGTACCCACGTGGGGGACCACGCGCCTACTGCGCCACTCCCCCCACGCGCGCCCGCTGCTGCAGGTATGTACCCACGTGGGGGACCACGCGCCTACTGCGCCACTCCCCCCACGCGCGCCCGCTGCTGCAGGTATGTACCCACGTGGGGGACCACGCGCCTACTGCGCCACTCCCCCCACGCGCGCCCGCTGCTGCAGGTATGTACCCACGTGGGGGACCACGCGTCTGCTGCGCCACTCCCCCCACGCGCGCCCGCTGCTGCAGGTATGTACCCACGTGGGGGACCACGCGCCTACTGCGCCACTCCCCCCACGCGCGCCCGCTGCTGCAGGTATGTACCCACGTGGGGGACCACGCGCCTACTGCGCCACTCCCCCCACGCGCGCCCGCTGCTGCAGGTATGTACCCACGTGGGGGACCACGCGCCTACTGCGCCACTCCCCCCACGCGCGCCCGCTGCTGCAGGTATGTACCCACGTGGGGGACCACGCGTCTGCTGCGCCACTCCCCCCACGCGCGCCCGCTGCTGCAGGTATGTACCCACGTGGGGGACCACGCGTCTACTGCGCCACTCCCCCCATGCGCACCGGCTTCTGCAGGTATGTACCCACGTGGGGCACCACGCGTCTGCTGCGCCACTCCCCCCACGCGCGCCCGCTGCTGCAGGTATGTACCCACGTGGGGGACCACGCGCCTGCTGCGCCACTCCCCCACGCGCGGGGTCCACGCGCCTGCACTACTAACACTACGAAATGGATTGTGATGAAATTAAGAAAACAGGTGCTTAGGAAGGATAATAGGTTAGCGGATACCTAGTTACTGTATTTAACTAACAATCATATGATCACAAGTACATTATTAACACAATTATTTTATTTTGTTTTTTTTTTCTAACTTAACCAAGAAATTTGACTTATTTATTCGATGAACGCAAGCCGAATAACGATTTATAATCTGATATTAGTAAATCAATACAATAAATTAATCAATTTACTTTAATACCATTTTGTTCGTGACATTACAATCTATTATATTTGTTTGTTCAGGTGGACGGATGCATCGCCAGCTTGGTTAACATGCTGGTAGTGTGCCACGCTGTGATGCAGAACGAAGCTATACTTGCCTTAACACTATTAGCGATGGAGTCGTTGAATAAATCGCCGGTAGACGACCCCGATGACTTCGACTGCGAGGAGAGCTTTATCTCTCAGCTGATAAAGTCGGAAATAGGTAAGCACGTCGCGGTGTTGATAGATACGAACTGTGCTAAAATGCCGATAGAAGTAGCGGAGAATCTGCTAGCG